TGACAATATTGCTAAATATCTTTGTTGCATTTTGCATATAACACACTATTGGAGGTCAGAGTATTTAAGTCAATTAAATATTTTTCTTTTTCTGTTTTTTAAGATGCATATTATAAGACTGTTGAGTTTACTTTCATAAATCTCCAATAGTCTCTTTAAATCTTCATCCCAGATGCAAAAATAAATCTTAATTTAATTGTAGTTCCAATTGTGCTCCCTATGAAGGAGGGAAATATGTCAAAGGATTTTTAACATATATTTATACCACAAGATTTACCTGACTTTGCTTGGGTCCTTCAGGGCAGGGGGCTAGTACTGTGGAGAGTGCAGGAATGAGGGCGAGGGGCTTGCCTCAGGGCTGGGGTTGTGGTGGTACAGGAGTTAGGGTTGAGTGAGAAGGGGCTCAGGGCTGGGTGAGTGGGGGCTGAAGGAGTTGGCAGGAAGTTGGAAGGTGTGGTCAGGGTGGTTGGCAGCTGCTGCCTGGGGACCATGTGGTCATTCTGGACTGGAGTATAACTGTCCCTGCTGTCACAGCCATCTGTTTCTCATCAATTGGAAATAATCACATTCCACATGCATCCCAATGTCAGACAGAAGCATGAATTCTTTCAAATCCATTGTGTGTGTGTGTATGTGTATACATGTGTATATGTACATATAAAAATTGTGTGTTTATAGGTCCTTTTGACAGTTGGACCACCATTTCTGGTTGGATATGTATATCTAACCTATTTCTTTTATGCATGTTTTGGAGATTTTTCTGCTTTAACCAAAGGCAGTGAGAATTAGGGATGTGAAATCCCATTTAATCAGTTAACCGGTTAAATGTTATGTTTAATGGGTTCACTGCTTAAATAGGCACAGCGGGGGCCACTTCAGCTAGACCAGAGTGGCCTCCCGCCCATGGCGTGGCTGGGCTGGGGCAGCGCCCTGCCTGGGGAAGGCTGCTTCAGTCCAGCCAGCCGGGCCAACGGTAAACCAATATCGGATAAGCATCACCCAAGAGGGGTTACTGGTTAACCATTGACATCCCAGTGAGAATTTGAAGAGACAGAGTTTTTTGGTGTGTGCGTGGGGGATGTGTGGGTTTATTATTATTTTGGCAGTCAACTTGAGAATTGCATGTGTGCTAGTTTTTAGCAGATGAATTCTAGTGTGAGAATAGTTACATAATCACAATAAACTTATTTGAAAAATAAAACTTCAAAGATCATGTGTCTAACTGCAATGTGGCTAATAACTGCTTACAGCCAATTTGATTATAGTTATTCTAATATCGAGGTGTTGCTGAGAAATAACTGGGTAGTGGGTGTAGGGATGTAAAAGAGGAGTCAGTCAGCTACCCAATAAGCTTAGGCTTATCAGGTAGGTAGTCAAGTCAACTGCTCCCATTTCTTCTCTCCTCCCCACCTTGCTGCCTCTGATATAGAGGCGGGGGTTGAGCAGGAACCTGTGCTGGGAGCAGGAGCTGGCTTAAAAGCAGTCCCGGCTTGTGCTGCCCCAGGATCTAACCCCACTGCAGCTGTGCAGTTTAAATGTAGTAGGTGATGAGTGCTCATCGACTACTGGATTTAGCTGATTATCTACAATTTAACATCCCTAAATGAGTGGTATGAATGAGACATACAGAACTGGGAGTCCTGTAACTATTGGTGGGGAACAGGGAGTAGGATTGCAAGTCAGTAATTGTTACATCTCTGTTCTGGTGTAGGCAACTGTGGTTTAGACAAAAATAACTTTTTCTTACCTGCCAAGTCCACAATTATCTGATTTAGTTTATCTGCTTTACTATCAAAATAAGGGATAGAACTAGCTTGAAATGTAATTATAATAGTGGAAACGGTGGACAGTATTTTATTCCAAAAATTGAAGACCATTTATGAGTTGGCAGTAAACAACTAATATTTTATAGAATCCTAGGTTTCTGCCATGTAATACTGCTATTTAAGATATCCAATTATCTCTCTGCTAATTAGCTTTAAATGTACTATAACTGTCCTATCCTGGAGAAAATACTAGAATGCGTCATACTCTCTCTGCTTTCCCTGGAAGACTTCCACATTCCACACCTTACTGTGTTTCACTACCATGACACTTCTCCTAATGTTCACCCTAATTCTTCCCTTCAGCAGTTTTGATTCTATCACTTCTAGCAATATCCTATATCATTCTGCGTAAGTCTTCGTCATTATACTGGTCAAATGACTGTAGCCAGTTATGGTAAAGTTGAACCTCTAGTCTGGATGCTGGACAACGGATGTTGCTGGAAAAGAGAGCCCCAGTAGATGCAAGTGGGGGTTGGCTGGGAGTCTGATAGTCGGGAGGGGAACTTGGAGGCCAGCTGAAGAGGGTTGGCATTGACCTGCTGTGGTCTGGCAAACTTTCTTGTTCAGGATTGGCAAGGTCCCAAGGATGGAAGGTCTGGCATCTCTTAGCCAAGTATTAATAGGAATTCCCATTAAGAAGATGACTGTCCAAGATTTAATTGCATACCTCTGAGAAACTACCTTTCCCGTCACAATTACTGTCAACTGCCAACAGTCTAGGAAAAACACACAACCCACTTCAAACATTTAGATATTCAAGATTAGTAGTTAAAGTATAAAATTAAATTGAGTATTTAATGCTGATGGAGAAGAAATAATAGAAACCTAGGTTCTGGTTTCCTGGTTTTATTGCACCTCAACTCCCAGCAGAAGTCAATATGAACTGTGGGTGCTCGACACCTTTGAAAATAAAGCCCTTAGTCATCAGAGAGGCATGGTTTATAGAGCACTTGTCTGGGAACCAGGAATAAACTATAGTAGAACTCTGTTTAACCAAACCTCCATTATCTGACACTCAATATTTATTGACTCACCAGCTGTTTGGAACAGGCAGTGGCTGGGGCTCAGACAACCACTCTTGGATTTATCAGGCATTCTGGTTAGCCAGTCTGGCTACAGTCCCAATTAGATCATACAACAAGAGTCCACTGGAGGGGTATTGTGTTTTTATTAACACCAGCTCAGCAACTGGTCCCTCTTGTGTTGAGAGTCTCTTTAAGGAACTCTCGACTTGCAATATTTTTAAAGTGATTAGATTCCAAGTAGCTTCCATTTACTGACCTACCACTAATTTTTTCCCTTGCCAGTCTTTTGGCTTTGCATACACATTTCCCAGTTATGTTTCCATCTTTCCTTAAAAAAAATAATCTTCTCTGTCATTGTAGAATAGTCCCACACAAACAGAGAAACTGACCAATAAACAAAATATTCAGAAGAAATAGTAAAACAATCTATAAACACAGAGGATGCTAAAATTCACAAAGTAAGCAAACTGAAGAGAGTGGGTTTTTTAAGCTATTAGAATACTTGTGGAAGGGGGAGAGAGGTGTGAATTTGACCATTTCCTTTTAATTTTCTAGAACATAAAATCTGACGGGTATGAAAGTATAAAATGCTGTGTAATAACTATTGTTTGGAACTTAGATGCACTCTGGATACTTTAAAAAAGTGATCAAAATTACCTTTAAATGAGAGTTTATCCTTTAAAAATAATTTTTACTTTGCAAAAATCAATTACATTAAATGGCAATAATTCATAATTTTGTAACATTTTGTAACTATCTTAAGGATGTTAAATTTAGATGAATCAACTAATTGAATAGTCGGTGTAATTTGCATTGACCATTCGATTAGTTGATGAGGGCACCTCCACCTTTGACATGTAGCAAGAGCTGGCAGAGCTCTTGCTACATGTCAAAGGTGGAAGCACTATGGGGAGCATGGCCAGCAGGGGACTCAAGCAGTCCCCACTGGCCCCATGCTCCCAGTGGCACTTTGCTTTTGAAATGTACAAGAGCCCTTCAAAAGCAGGCTGTGTAGGTCCAGTGGAGGACTATTTGAGTCCCCAGCTCGCCCCAGGCTCCCCATAGCACTTCTGCTTTTGAAATGTAGCAAGAGCCCCACTCTTGCTACATTTCAAAGGCAGAAGCACCGCTGGTTTCCTGCTGCACCCCTACTTCTTCTCCCCACAAAAATGGTGCTGGGGGGAACCGTTTTTTAAGTCGGCTCCAGCCTCTGTCCTGATAGAGGCAGCAAGGGCGGAGGAAGCGACTAGTCGAGTCACAAGTAAACTATCCAATGAGCGTTTGCTTATTGGATAGTTGACTAGTGGCTTACATCCCTAGACTATCTAACTCATGATTTCGTGAACTCTGGAAGTCTGAGCCCCTCTTCAGAAGAATGTAATCAACCTCACCTCCTTTTGATTTTGCTAGATGTTTAAAGCCTAAAAAATGATCAGTTGCTCAAATTGAATTGAGCAGATCTTCAGCATATGTTACTGTCTCTCCTTTTTTAGCATGCTTTAATGAAGTGTGAAATGGATACTGGTTTGGAGAACTATCGTTGTCTGAGTTAGTGCCTGTTGAAATGAATTGTGCATTTTGCATCTGTCTCGTCATTTCAGGCTCCCTACAAACTCAGGCAGACATCACTGCATGGCTTATACTCGGGTCACATTTTTCAAGCGTTGGTTGTTTTGGGGGGAAGGGGAGGTTTCCACCACAGTCTAGAGACTTAAAAACCTCAGACTTCTGGGAGCAACTGAAGTCTACTACTGGTTGAACCTCTCTAGTCCGGCAACATCCATGGTCCAGCAAGACCCCGGATATTGCTGGACCAGAGAGCCTGACTGGGAGTAGGAACAGCCAGGATCAGGAGCGAAGCCCTGGCCAGTGGCAGCAGGAGCCATGGCCAAGGCTCGGGGTCTGATTGCCTGCTAGTCCCTTGCACTCACCTGAGGAAGTGCATCCCACTTTTTAGGAAACACTGGTCCAGTTGAATAGGCAACATATACTCAATTTGGAGATATGCCGGGGCAAAGCTACACTTAGGGAGAGGCACTACCTGTTTAAAAAAAAATAATTAAACCTGAGCTATAAAAATCTATATGTGAATTTCATATGCTGTAAGGGAGTAGTGTACTAATCTTAACTTTTTTTTCCCTCCCTTTAGAATATGGTATCAAGTTTTCGAGTTTCTGAACTACAAGTGTTGTTGGGCTTTGCTGGACGTAATAAAAGTGGGCGCAAACATGACCTCCTGATGAGGGCACTGCATTTACTGAAGAGTGGCTGCAGCCCAGCAGTTCAGATTAAAATCAGAGAGCTCTATAGGCGTCGGTACCCCAGGACAATTGAAAGTCTGTCTGACTTGTCACCTATAAAACCGTCAGTTTTCAATTTAGATAATAGTTCCTCTCCTGTGGAATCTGACTTGGCTGTTGCTGGAATTCACCCACTACCTTCTACTTCAGTCACCCCTCAGTCTCCTTCATCGCCTGTTGGTTCTGTGCTGCTTCAAGACACTAAGCCTCACTTTGAGATGCAGCAACCATCACCTCCAATTCCACCTGTCCATCCTGATGTTCAGCTGAAAAGCCTCCCATTTTATGATGTGCTTGATGTCCTCATCAAACCTACGAGTTTAGGTAAGTGTTTAATTTGTAGAGTGTGGTGTTAAGACTGACTGAAGCAATCCCCATTTTGATCAATAAATCCAGGTCCATAAAATAGTGAGCTTTTCATATTAGACACTTGTCTAAAGATCACCATTTCCACTTTGTTAAAGACAGTACGTGCTACTTGGTATTTCATAAATTGCTCTAATTGCCACTCCCAGTAACAATAATGTTCTTTGACTGCAATCAAGTAACTCTCCAAAACATGGTTCTTTTCTGCCTTTGAAAACACTGATGAAATTAATAATCATTTGTGTCACTGATCATAGGTTTGCTCCTCACTTAAAGATCATATATCTATATGGGGCAGTAGGAAATTATTTTTGGAAAACCAATTTTTGATCCATGTGATCATAAATTGTAGTTTCACTAGAAGTAAGGTAAACTATCTTCCAGCTATACAAAATTTTAAGGTGTTTGTTTTCATAGTAGGGTAGGCTCTTAATATCAAAATCATTATGGAAGAGCTATCTCAAATGAGAGGTGTAAATTTAATCATGCATTGGATATTGGTTTGGCAGAAGTGATTGGTCATCTGATCTTTTATTGACTGACGGGACTGCTTGTTATTGTTTTGTTAATCGCAGACTAAAACAGCTACTCCTCTGAAACTTGTTTTGATAGAGTACAGAATAGAGGTATGTGTGCTTTCAGTAGGGATGTTAACATGTACTTGAGTACATCGTTAACTGATGTGCCCAGGCTTTGCTGGGGGATTCAGGCAGGAGGTAGTACTCACAGGGAGCAGGCTCTCAGAACTGCCTCACCTTCCCCCCCCCACACACTTGGGGGGCTGCTGTCTCTGATATGGGGGGGACGGTTATTACTTAAAAGCTAGTTCCCTGTGAGCACTGGCTCCCGCTCCCCCAACCCTCCCTTTGTAAACATATGACCGCTGAATTTTTTCAGCGGTTACAAGTTTACGCAAATTCACACACTTGAACATCTCTAGCTTTCAGCTGTGTGAAGTCCTACTTGTCCTCAAAGGCCCAGATTTTAAAGCATTTTGGACCTTTGTGCACTTAATGTTGCAATGCTTAGGTGAGTTAGAGGCCTAAATCTCATTTTCAAAAGTGACCTATTCAAGGTCAAGATGTAAGCACCTAGATCAGTCTTGAAAATAAGATTTAGGCTCCTAAATCACGTAGGCATTGCAAAGCTGAGTGCACCAAGGCCTGAATTCCCTCAAAGTCTGGGTCAAAATCCAGATCCTTGAAAACATATATTGTATCTTTGTGAATGTTTTGGTTTTTTTGACATTCAGTTGCATCAAATTTAATATTCATGTCTGCAAAACTGCACATAAGTTGACCCCTACCTTCATGTTTGCTCTCATTTTCTCTCCATGCTTATTGTGAGGATTTTTTTGTCTAATTCCTTTCTTTTCTCCTTCCTTCTGCTGCACCTACAATAGACTGTTTTATCCTTCACTAGCTGATCTATTTAGTGTTGCTCTGGTCCTTAACTCTAGTAATGTTTGGGGGCTTTTAAAGAAAAACATACATGATTTATTTAGCTTATCGGGTAGTCCACTAGTGACTTGACTAGTTGTCCCACCTCCCCCACTGCCTTCACCAGAGAGAGATAGTAAGGCAGGGGGAGCTGGAGCTGGTGCTGGGAGGAAATGGCTTAAAAGCTCAACACCGTCTGGGGGAAAGGAGAAGTGGAGGTGTAGCTAGGACCAGGCACAGGTCCGGAATCAGCGGGTCCCAGATGCTGATCCTATTAATCTTTAGTGACTTGACTAGTTGTCCCACCTCCCCCACTGCCTTCACCAGAGAGAGATAGTAAGGCAGGGGGAGCTGGAGCTGGTGCTGGGAGGAAATGGCTTAAAAGCTCAACACCGTCTGGGGGAAAGGAGAAGTGGAGGTGTAGCTAGGACCAGGCACAGGTCCGGAATCAGCGGGTCCCAGATGCTGATCCTATTAATCTTAACTGTCAGTCCCTCCCTCCCCTCCTCAGCACTGGCTCCTGCTCCCCACCTTGCTGCCTTTGATAGAGGCAATGCTGAGGGGTGGGGAGGAACTAGTCAAGTAGCGATTCGATTACCTGATAAGTTTAGCTTTATTGGGTAGTTGACTAGTTGCTTACATCTCTACTCAGATAGGGAGTGATGGTGCAGGAGCCAGGGCAGGGAGTGGAAGTGCCAGGGTCAGTGCAGTAGTCTAGGAGGTGGAGGATTCAGAGCAGGGTGGGTGTGGGTGTGAGGGGAACGGGCTCAAGGCAGGGGGCTCGGAGGCACAGGAGTCAGCACAGGTGTTGCGGGGACTTGGCAAGGAGTAGGGATACATGAGTTAGGGCAGGGTTCTGGGAGGAGTGGCGGGCTTAAGGCAGAGTGGGAATGCAGAAGTCAGGATCGGGCTTGGGGGTGCAGGAGTGAGGGCAGAGGGTGGGGGCCGCAGAGCAGGGTTCAGTGTGTAGTCAGACTCAGAGCCACTATCAGATATTTGAGGGAATGAAGAGAATGGCAATTGAATGATCCGTTCCCTGTCATCTAGTCCCAGTTTGTGGCAGTCAGAGGCTTAAGGACATTAGGCTGTAGGGTTGCTTCCCTTACCTAGGTTAATAGTCATTAATGGACCTATCCTCCATAAAGTAACCTAGTTATTCTTTTGGCCTTCACAACATCTCCTAGCAATGAGTTCCACAGATTAACTGACTATGCACTGTACAAGAAAGTACAGAGTTTGTTTTAAATCTGCTACCTATTAATTTCATATGGTGTCCTCTGGTTCTTGTGTTATGTGAAGTGGTAAATAACACTTCCTTATTCACTTTCTCTAAACCATTCATTATTTTTCAGACCTGTGTGATATTGTCCACTCCCTTTAGTTGGCTTTTTCCTAGGCTAAACAGTGCCAATCCTTTTTAATCTCTCCCCTTATGAAAGCTGTTTTATAGCCCTAATAATTTGTTGCACCTCTCTGTACCTTTAAAAATTGTATTATATCTCTTGCGATTGAGTGACTAATATTGAGCATATGGTGGATTTATGTAGTGGCATTATGTTTTCTCTTACGTATCCATTTCCTAATGGGTCTTAACAAGGGCCACTTTTGCTTTTATAATAGTCATGCAAATTAGTAATGTAAGCATAAGAAACCTTTTCAGAGGTTTCTAGGGTCAAATTTTGCTGTACATGTAGGTGGCTTGTTGGAGAGAGAGCATTTTCCTTACAGTACATTCTCTTAAAAGATTACTCTAATATTCATTAGAATGAAATGTCACTTATCTTTCTGCATTTGTATGTCCTTGAAAACAAGGTGAAACCATATATTGTAATTGCAGTAAGACACATAACTAGCACTGTTCAAAACAGAGCTGGAATAAAGTACAGTACGGGGGCGGGGGTCAGGGTCGGCACCGGCATGCGCGGCGCACCCGGGGCTGGCCCCTGCCGCACGCCCAGGGGCGGGGCCAGCCCAGATTGCTCTGCGGGCGCACGTAAAGGGCCCGGCGGGCACCATGGTGCCCGCGGGCACCGGGTTGGGGACCACGGGCTTAGAGGGAACACTGGTCAGCAGCTGCCTTGAAGGTGGACCATGGCTTGAGCTCCGCCCCCTATTCTCTCCCCCTCCCCCCCACAGTAGGGAAACTGTGCTGGTACTCTAGCCTTGTACACAAACCACCTCCATGAGGTTGGTGCATCAGTGCAAGCTTACCCACTGTGGGAGGAAAGAGAGAGCCCAGACCTCCTCACCAGATCGAGCTCACGGGGAAGAAACTCCCCTGGCTGGGGGGAGGGGGGACAACAGTGCACAGATGCACTGCCTGGAGGCTTTCCCTGCTGCTCCCATTGAGACCCCACACACCCTAGCCTTCTCCTACACCCTCCCCCCTGGCCAGACATCCTCCTCACACCCAGACCTTGCACCTTCTCCACTTCCTGCACCACAGCTCCCACCCAGATCCTGCACCTTCATCCCTATCCCACTCACTGGCAGCCCCATCCCGCACATTGAACCTCTCATTTTTGGTCCCACTCGGTAGCCTAAGGAGAATCCACAAAGTCCACTAATCCTGAAACTTCAGAAGAGTTAATCTGGCCTATGGGAAGACCTGAAACGCAGTCTACACTTCTTCTCCTCCTTACACACACCTGTAGGGTGGGAGCACCAGGGGAGTGAGGTGTCTTAATTGCGGGGTGACATCAGTGAGGGTTGGGGCTTTTGGTTTGGGGTTGGTTTTTTTCTGCTTCTCACTTGTGTAGTCCGACTGATTTTTCTGTGGGATAGTGGCCCCCAACCCAGAAGGGTTCCCCACCCCTGCCATAAATAAAGATAATGTAGAAACCTTTTGTGTTAGACATAAATGAGGTTTGCTAAACTAACAGAGTTAAAGCACTTAATCTGTTTAATAATTTTGATTAATATTTCCTTTCTTACTGGTTAAATTAAACCGTTCTCTCCAGCTGCAGCACTAGCATAGTGGCTCAGGTGTAATTATGTGATTAATGGCACGTTTCCATTAGCAATTGGCAGTTCATGGAAAAGTTTGCATTGAGGAAAAAGTTTAAGAACCACTGGTTTGGTGGCATCCTATTATCAGCTGCTGTTTTCAACTGAAATGTGTCGGGGAAGGGAGAAGAGATTGGTGTGTCTGGAGCATGGGAAATAGCAAGTTGTCTGACCTATCCTGTGGCAGGAGGATGGGGACCCCCTTCCTCCAGCTGAGAGCTGCCTCCCACCACAAATGGCTCTGCTCAACACAGCAGTCTCTCCCCAAGCTGCCCACTCTGCCTGCCTGCATGTGGCTGTATGATTCCCTCAAGTTCTCCCACAACTAAGGTGGTCTGCCCTCCAGGAGGCCTGAAATCGGCTGTCTCCTGGTGACTATTGAAAGCTATCTTGGAGCTTTTAATAGGCTATTTTAAGAAAATGATGTGTGAGTGTGAGAGAGAGAGAATCTCTGAATAGCTTCAGTCAGACTTGGCAATAGCTGGGAGCAGCTCTGTGCTGAGGAACGTCAAAGCTGTTCTTCTTTCCCACCCTACCCTAGCAGTCTTCCTGCCACTGTGTTCCCAGAGCAGAACAGGAGCATTCCATTCTAACCATTTGCTTTTTGTTCCCCAAAGGGAACAGCAAGATCAGCTGTCAGATACTTCCCTGAGCTTTGAAAGGAGAGGGGTTCATGCTTGCTGGGCAATAGATATCAAAACAGTCTGGGAAGGCATTGTGGGATACTGGAGAAATCTAGTTATGTCAAGAAACAGCAATGTCTATATTGCTGCTTGGTTGCCCTACTTTTCTGCCAAAAGCTTTCTTCCTCTCCTTGAAGTGGTTTTATTTTGTCAGCAAAACAGCAGTTTTGCCACCAAAAGTAGCTTTTTGGTCAGCAAAAGGAAGCTTTCTTTGACAAAACTTTGTAATGTAGAGGAGGCCTTAATAGAGATGGGTTTTCTGTAGTATTGAGATCCGATATGTTTCGATATGTTTCAAAGGTGTAACTTCCTTCTCCACTCATGAAATTAAAACAGTTTTCCAGTGAATTGTTGTTCTCAAGCAGGCCCATGTGCACTTGCTTCTCTGATAACTACTTAGAGTAATATCTCAAATTCTTTGCTATATTGTAGTGAGGATATGTGGGAGGCAATGCAGTGTTGCTATTTGCTTTGCAAGTTCACTTGACAACCAGTGAAAATTCTGGGACATTTCAACTCTGTATAATCTCTTGTAACATCTAAGAATAAAATAAACCTTATTTTCCAAGCTTCTGAAGAAGGCAAATTGCTATTTTAGTACTGGGCTTAATATTAAAATTACACTGACTAGAATTGACTCATTCATAGCTGTTTCTCATTGACAATTGTATACAATTAGCAGCAATTCCATTCTGACCTTTGTTTTGTCCAAGAAAGCAGAACTGTGGACTCTCAAGTCATCATCCCTGTGATCATTTGAACTTTTATTAGTGGACCATCCTGTTTTAAAGCTGTTTTTACATGTTTTCTCTCAGTACAGAGCAGTATTCAGAGATTTCAGGAGAAGTTTTTTATCTTTGCTTTAACACCTCAACAAGTCAGAGAAATCTGCATTTCCAGGTAAGAGGAGTGTCTGACATGTATTAAATCACTACATTTGCAAAATTGCAGGGGTGGGTCAGAAAAATCTTCCTTCATATCTCTTAGCCTGTGGCATGATCTTTTATCTAAAGTGGTTGGAGCCGATTATTCAGTACACCTAAAATTAGTCTTTGTACAAATAATAATGGTTATGTTGGGAGACAAATCTACATAATCAGGGAGTTAGAGGAGGAGATGATGGGACCCGATTGTTTGAAATGAAATAGCTTTCTTGACTACTGAAAGAGTGGCAGACTGTTTTCTTTCTCTGTGTTCCCTGGTTACTGGGGTGGGAGGCTGTTTCTAACCTCTACCCTTGTTTGTCAGTGGAGCACAGTGGGAGGACCTCCTTTGTGCTGATTCCCTCCTCAGGTGGTGTCAGATTTTATTTTTTTTTCCTCCCCTCTCTACACAACCACCTCTGCAGTCCCAAGACCTTGCTGGAGGGAAGGTAGAGATCTAGTTTATTATTTTAATTAATACAAATAAATTGTTTTGGTTAAAAGTGCTTTGTCTTATATTGCATGGGTAGCTTAGTAATGAGAAACATACAAGTCTTGAAATTAACTAGAGATTTTGGAGCAGATTTGTCATCCCCCCCCCCCCCCCCACACCCCAGCAGGCCAGCTTG